TTTTTTTTTTTTTTTCCTTAAAAAACAAAAAAAAAAAAAAACTTGACCCTCTTTTCATAAGGTACTCTGATAGCAATAAAAACAAAAATAATATACTTGACAAGCAACACGGTAAAAATAAATCGCTCCTTTTTCTTTTTTTTTTTTTCATTTTATTTCTCGTAAATTTACGCCCTTAACACTAAAATCAACTTTTTTTTTTTGCATATTCTTACTTCCACACAACTACACGTTTGTCTTCCCCAATAGACGCCAACAGCGGGGAAGAGTCACACATTTCCCAGATAACACTATGAACACCATTTTGATGTTCCCCAGAAAGGGTCGTATCAAGTATATGACCTTCATCCAGTTTAATAAGAAACACCGCCCCTCGTGCGTTTCCCACAGCGCAGAGTTTCCCATCGGGGCTTATCGCAAGACGTGTAAGATTACTTGAGACTCGCATATCACTATTTTCTACACGAAAAAGTTCCTGTTTTAAATCACGGACATCACGTACACAAATACTATTATCCCGTCCAAGTGAAACACAACGTCGTCCATCAGGATCTATTCGAACACACGTAACCCCCTGGTGATGGGCATTCTTAATCTCCGTGCTGTGACCCACCGTGCGGCGGTCCCACACCCACAAACTACCATTATAGTGTGCTGACAAAATGTATGAATCCACCACGCAGAGATCATTACAGGTACTGGTACACATAATCGTACGCTGTCCCATTCCTCGTCGCACATCCCACAATTTGATCGTACGATCTGAACTTGCGGTAAAGGCGCTGTGTGCTGATTGTGAGAGATACGCCGCCACTACCTTCTCACTGTGTCCTGTCAATTCCACCGTGCGTAGTGTGTGTGTATCCCAGAACCGCGTCACCCCATCCGCACAGCCCGCCAACAAATAATGTGATGTACTGTCGAGAGCCAGCGGGACATCTGTGCTGCTGTGTGTACGCAACGGTTTGCCTGTACTAAACTCCCAATGCCGTATGTTGCGATCCCCGCCGCCGGTGATGAGCAGCCGCCCGCCATCCGCCGCACACGCCGCGTACACCATTCGATCCCCATGGGCCCCATCAATAGCGTACAGCACAGCACTGGGCGGCTGGACGTCGAGGGACAGCAGCGTCTCACGCTCCCGTGCGAGGGCCTCGCCTCTGCGGACGGAAGATGCAGAGCCACTCAGCACTGCAGGATCGGTGTGAATTGGTGCTGTTGTTGTTGTGTTGGTAGAGGTGGTGTTGGTAGAGGTGGCAGCATCACCGCCTTGCTGGCGTTTTGCCTTGCGGATACGATTTAACTCATCTTCATATTCTAATATCTTTTCCTGCATCTTTGCAACAGTGTCTTTGGAGGCTAAAAGATCTTTAATGCATCGATCACGTTCGTTAAGGATTGTGCATAATTTAGGTCGTAACTCTTCACTCTCTTGTTTAAGTGCCGCATATTCATGCTTCATCATTCGAAGTACATTCTCACGATGTTTTTCCTGTTCTTTCATATGTGATAACTCTTCCTTAAGAGACTTGTTCTCTTCTGTTAACCGATTGGCTTCACAAATACTTTTATAGTAATCCTTCTCCTGTGTGATATTTTGCTGTACTTGCTTCTGCAGCTCAGCAACTTTAGCTTCTAGTTCTTCCTCTCGACTTGTTCGATTTACAACACCAGCTGCTGCAAGTTCTAGAGTACGCAAATGTTGAGCAAGATTTTTGTTCTTCTCATCTAACTTTGCGTTTTCATCTCCTAGTTCCTGTAATCGCTGCTGCGATCGCAGGAGTTGATTCTGGGCAACACGATGTGCTATAAATACACGTTCCATCGGTTGAAACTCAGCGGCGTTACGTAACAAAATTTGCCGTTCAATCACGGCAGTCCATGTTTCCATTTCGTCTAGAAATGGTGCTCCAAAAGCAGCAATATTAAAATATATATTGATATACAAATATTTGGTCTCTCCCCACCTTTTTTTTTTCTTTTGTTTCTGATGACCACAGAGTTGTTACACAACTATTTTTTTTGTTGTTGTTCGAAGAGAAAAAAAAAAAAAAATCAAACAAAGAAAACAGAGAAAAGAAAAAAAAAAAAGAAAAAGTGAGAAAGATAGATACAGAACTGGATTAATAATAATAATAATAATAATAATAATAATAATAATAATAATAATAATAATAATAATAATAACACGTGGGGTTGTGCAACTTCAACAATTACATTTGGAAAACCAGAAGGAGGAAGTATTGCAGACAATAAGAGCCATCCATACAGGGTGTCCTATCATGGCGACTAATTAACCACTCTTCCACTCATGTATGTGGGTTGTGCAGAAGAAATAATAATAGTAATAATAATAATAATAATAATAATAATAAATAATAATAACTAGTTAAAAAAAAAAATCACCCTCATCACATACGATAGCAGCGTTTCACTTTTCTTAGTCTACAAATACAACAAAATAGGCTGCATTTATTGGCGTACTGCCATGTGTGTCGACACACCAAATTTGTAAACCTGACTTTGAGTATAACCCATATCTTTCAAAAACCCTGAGAATTTATAGAATGGTCCTTGCCAATAGGTATAGTTACCCACCGTACTTACACGACCACAAAGAGGCAATAACATACTCTGGGGTCCACAAATCAAAATTTTTGGACGTATCGCATTTCCTGTTTCTGGATCTAGTACCACCGGTGGTGGGAGTGCCTTCTTAACGATAGATGGATCAATATGACCCAAAAAAACGTTTTCACCAAGATAAACTCCATCTTCCTGTTTCTGTTGAGCTAGAGACATAACGTTGTATTTTATAAAAATTCTATTAGAGTTTCGTGCGGTATACTTATCAAATACGTCTCTAAATGGAATATCTTTAGCGGTACGATGACAGTAGAGAAAGTGCAGTTTCGTGTTATCGGTCTTATCGGCGTCTAATATGCTCATCATCTGCAGCGCGATACTAGCCCCGGATGTTGAGCAGATGAGCCCGAGCTCTCCGTATGTGTTCTTTGTGTATGGGAACTCCCGCATCCATCGCCCCAGCCAGACGCGATCGCCGCGCTCGAGTCGGCGGAGGCGGGCGGCCATGCGGCCGGGGTCGCGGTCCCGCACGGCGAACTCCACGACGCCGCGGCACTGCGGGTGGCTGGTCGGCGTGTACCACCGGCTGAGGCGCCCAACGCCCAGCAGCGACGCCAGAGGCGAAGTGGAAAAGGAATTCGGCACCGTCAGCCGCACGGAGCTCACAGGGGCGTAGCCGCAGTAATCCGCCGCCCGCGGAAGGGCAAAGCGCAGCAGCAGCACGTCCCCACCGCCAAGCCGCTCCTTCGAGAGAAGCGTCACAGGAACCGCAGGCGCAAAACGAGAACGGGCGGCAAGCGGAAGATCCGACTGTGAACGCACAAAGATAGCCTGATAAAGGAGAAACGATATACCACTGAAGGCACAGGTGACTGCCGTTAATCGCACAGCGTAGCCGAAATTAACATTGCAGAAAATACTCCGCATTTTTTCAGGAACGTCCTGCAGGACATAAGACCAACGACCAACAGCGTTTACTCGTGGCCGCTCGGTTCGCTGGTTGCCACCATTGCTAAACGTGGAAAACTTCCCAGACGGAGTACCATCACGTCCACCACCTCGGGAATTATCCATACAAGCAAAGAAAAGAAGAAAAAGCTGCTCTTCTTATTTGTTAGATTTCCTTATCTATCTATCTATATATCTATATATTTATGAATATCAATTCGTTAACGGAATCACACCTTTTATTTTTTCCTTCCTGTTGCCACACAGACAAGAAAAAATACACTGAGATAGGAGAGGAAGAGAAACACTTGCAGGAAAAAGCGTAAATGAAAAGAACAAAATAAATCGATAATAAATGCAAAGTGTACGAAAGTCTTGTCCAAGGTTTATAAAGAAGAGTGAACTGCACACAAACACAGACACACAAAAATAAACAAAGATACAGAGACAAGGCAACAAGAGATCGTCTCTTTTTTCTTTTTTTTTTTTTTTTTTTTTAAGAAGACATGTCAAGAATCTTCTCAATTCTAACCTCCTCTTTTCTTTCATTCTTTCTTTCTTTACTCTTACCAACTATTACACTCGACACGACCATATACCTACCCATATATATTTATATACATATATGGCTTTCTTGTACACTACACGCAAAAGAAAAAATAATAATAATAATCCCAAAATTTTTGTTCCCTTTCCCTTTCCTTCCCAAAAAAATAATCCTTCACTACTTTTTTTTTTTTTAATCACTAGTTCCACTAGTAATCCCACTCTCAATCTAACCCCCTCTTCCCCATCTATTTAACCTGAAGGTGCCCACCTCCCAATATGCTAAATCACCCCATTTCCCAGATAGAAAGACATGTATAATGTGTCATCTACGTTACCTTTCATGCTTTCCCGGTCTGAGCAAGCTTTTTTAATACTTCGGCAGCTGCCTTTGGTTCTAAGACACGCACACTTTTTGCTTCTTCAAATGCAGCCTCAAATGCTGATTCCAGTTTATCGGGTTCAGCGTACAATATTCCTTTCTCTTGGAGACCTTGAACGACAACTTTGGCAGCATTCATACCAACTCCAAAAACGATAATATCTACAGAAGAAAGATTAAATGCGTTAGGCCTCACAGGGTGGGATGAAAGTTTATCATTCTTTGGAGCTGCAAAAAGATGACCACCTGCCGCTGCTTTAGTCGCTATATCATCTACATAAGAATGTGGTAGTTTGTATCCATATCCTGACACATGTCGACGACCGTAGTGACGATGTGAACGTGCATGGGGTAAACCAATACGCACAGGCAGCGGCTTCTGCACACGATGTAAACTTAATTCCACCAAGTCATGTGACTGAGCTTCTACTTTATCTTGCGGTGTTGAGACAACATCCCACCCACGAGAGACGTAACCTTCAGCAATGCGGTGATGTCGTGCACCAAAAAGATACGGTGAAACACGAAGAACATCCGCCTCTGCCTCCGTGTTGCACACAACCAAAGTGAGTTGCGAGGCATCAGGACTCATTACACTTTCAGCAGTTAGTGTAAGGAATCCTTTGTCATCTGCGTAGAAACCCCAGCGAGCGCAGAGATAGGCAGTTGTGTCAAGAAGTACATCACAACTTGGTTCAGCGGATATGGCAGCCTTCATTGGGATACTGTATGGTTCTACAGCGATAAACTTATTATGAGTTAGACCCAAATCTTGTGGTCGTGGTCCACCAAACTCTTCCACAATACGTGGACTCTCAAAATCCCAGGCTGGAGCGTGATATACCAGTACACCAGGTCGTCGCCATCCCCATTCATCAATAGGAGATTGTGTAATACGTTTAGAAAGCATAATTTCCTGTTGAGACACATAATTAAATTTACGTATAGCTGCAAGGGATGCAAAGTATGCGTGTGTGGGGTTATCCGTGATAATACGATATGGTGTATGGGTTGCCGGGTGACTACCAAACACTCCATCTATAAGGTAGAAGCGTAGGCCTTGTCCTAGATGGTATTGAATTTCTCGTAAAAGTCGTTTACCATGTAATGGGTCAATATCTTTAAATCCTTTTAATGGAGGATTCTTTAGACGACGATGCATTTGATGTTCTGGAGTATGTGGAAACATTAAATATTGTCGAGGTGTATTCTTTTCTTTTGAATTCTTACAATAATAATAATAATCAATAGCTAATGCACCTGCCTTGTTGAATCGACGACCCCAAGCACGACCTCTCACTTCATAGGGTCGTAAATTATACTCCCCTACACCATATGTATAACGCCATACACCAGACCACATACCCGCATTAGCGTAATCACCAACCTGCGACCAATTGGAAACAAGTGTACTGCTGTTAGCATTCCACCACGGCCCAGGATCTTCATTTGTCTTTCGAAAGAGTGTAAGTGAATCAAAACCCCACTGATACATGGTACGTAAGTAATTCTTTCCTTCTCCTGTTGTAGGAGGAGTGGATGAAATCACACGAGGAGCAACTTCATGACGAAAAGCGGGTTTTCGCCGTTCTTCCTCCGCATCAGGATTACAGCAAATATCATTAAGAATGGACATTTGACCAGCACTTTGACCCGGTAGTGGTTTAAGTGTCTCTTGTATGTTAGCATACCGCATATGACGACGTTGTTGTTGATATTGTTGATATTGTTGTTGTTGGGAAATGACTACAAAAGACGCACGTGAGGCTGAGCGGGCCTCCCACCCAACAAGAGCACTGCGCAGCATGTCGTAAGAGTGCAAAAGTTGCTATGCTACCCTTTAGAAAATAAAAAAGAAAAGAAAAAGAAAAAAAGGGAAAAAAGCAGAAGGATGAGAGAATCAACAACACATACATCATCAACAGAGGAAATAGTATAACCGAGTAATAGATAAAAATGTGAATAAACAAAGAAATATTTTTTTTTTTCCTTTTAATGACAGAAGGAGAGCAGATATTCAACGTACAGTCTATTTTATTATATCTTTTCTTTTTGACTATATCTTGTCCCTGGAAGGACATATAAACGTATAAATGAGTGATCTTACTAGCAACAAATGCATGTAAGTGTATAAGCATATACATATATATGTTTATCTTATAACACAGAAAAGAAGACATAGTCATACAAAACACACATCAATAAGAAGAAATTTTCTCATAACTGATAGAAAAAAAAAAAAAAAAAAACAATGATGGCTGAACTGATTGGATGCAATGTTCTTATACTAGCTCAATACATACAACTACAAACATACACACAGAAAGAAAGGTAGAAAGAGATAGAGAGGAAGCAAAACAAAAAGAAGGAAAAAAAGAAAATATCTATAGGATTACTAAAACCCTTCTTTTCTCCCATTTTTTCGTATTTTCTTATTCTTCCCTATTTCTCTTTCTGCTGCTGATGTCAAGATATCAGTGGATAATAAATGATGCTCCAAGAAAGAAAGATAAATATTAGAAAATGGAAACATACAGAAGTTGTGATGCACTGGTACGAAAAAAAAAAAAAAAATACAATGTGAGAGAGGTAAAGATCAAAATATCGAGAAAAAAAAGAAACACACACATAAAGGTATGCAGAGGAGGAAATCACAGTAAAGATTAAAAATGAAGTGCAAATGTTTTTACTTGAAGATAGTCTTTCTTTCTTTCTTTATTTTTTCTTTTTTTTGTCTCCGTTTCATGGTATTCAAAAGAGAGGGAAATAGAAACAATAATAAACAGCCAGTCCACTACCACTGTTATTATTATTATTATTATTATTATTATTATTATTATTATTATTATTATTATTATTATTATTCCTGCTGCTGTTAAGGTTTTTTTTTTTTTCCTTTTTGAGGTCTCCGCCAGAAATCAACAACAACAATAATAACAATAATAACAATAACAGTAAAAAAAAAAGGTAACAAAACTCTGTCTCAGTTCTTCGTATGTTTTCACTTATCTTTACTTCATTTTCTTCCCTGTTCCGCATTGCTGTTGCAATGTGTTCAAAGGCTTATGTACATTGACCAAGTAAACATAACGTGAATGTGTACTGTTGTAACGAACCACATGTACATGTGAGTTTGTGTGTGTGAATGATTGATGATTGTGAATAGTGATAACAAGAACAAAAATGAGAAAAAAGAAAAAAAAAAAATCATACATACGTACGTACATACATAAACAAAGAAAAATATATAAATAAATATATAGATAGATAGATATATATATATATACAACAAAAAGAGAAGTCTTCCCTTTATCCATCCAGAGAAAAAAACGAAAGAGATGGACTTGGCATCAGTCTTAGAAGGGGAAAAAAGAACAAGAGGAAAATTGTGAAGAAAAACAAAAAAAAAAAAAAAAAAANAAATAAATAAATAAAAAGATGCCTGTGCGGAAGCGTGTCCTCTGGGATGAAAGCAACCTTGAAGCCAATGAGGAGTACCGTCGCCAGCACCCCGTAACGATGCACATAAGTGAACCAAAGACTCCGTATGTATATACAGAGTTTGACGAGGAGGGGAACTTTGATGATGGATCAAAAGGAGAGGAAGTGGAGGCGAAGAATAGCACGTGGGACCCGCAGATAAATGCGCTTGCACGACAGATGAAAGAGGGTCTTTCAAAGGAGGTGGAGGGCCCTGTTGCGCCTGTCAGCTCCTCAGGGCGGCCCATGTTGTCTCCAGACGTTACCAACGGCGATATGTTGGCTAAACGGCACGCGACGGAGTTTAAAACAATGCGCAAAGCTGTATATGCAGATGAAGGGGCAACCTTCAAGAAGTTACTTGCTAGAAAAGATGAGGACGATGATGAGGACGAGGACGATGAGGATGAGGATGATGATAAAGGTGATGATGATGGTAATGATAGTACTGGTGGCGCCAGTAAGAGCAAAAAAGGGGTTCTCTAAGAAAGGGGAAGGCAATGTACAGTAATGGATTTCCTCTGTGAGTGAAAGAAATTGGAGAGATACTTAAGTGAGTCTCTTGTTGAAGCAAAAATGTGTTTTCACACATTTGAAGAGGGTGTAATGATTTTTCTGATGTTTGATGCCGTCATTTCATATTGGCTTTCCTACTGTTTGTTGTGAAGAAAAAAAAAAAAAAAAAAAAAAAAACGAGGACTAAATATAATGCAAATTTTATTTACTGGAAAAGGAAATCAGTCAAATTTATTCGAGGTCCACTCGAGAATACATCCGCATCCCTCAACGTTTCTCGTTTTTTTTTTTTTTTTTTCCTTGGTGCAATCCAATCGAATTCAGCGTATTTATTGAGGTAACAACAATAAAAACAATAAAAAAGGGAAAAGATTCCATTTCCATTTCCATTATCTACTATTATTCATTCCATATAATAAAATTCCAAGAAGAAAGGAAGAAAACAATAAAACCACACACATATACATACATATAAAAATATATATATATATATATATATTATACTCATTTTTCTAATTTGCTCCATTTTCTTTAACTAAACGTGAAATAGTAACTATCATCGCATCGTATCTTCATGCGATATCGATAGTTTACGCTTTGTGTCCATTCCTCACACTTCCTGAATAAGCTCATTTGACACAAACTTACGTGGAGAATAAACCTGATAGTTTTTTGTTTTCTCCACTTTTAAAGTTGTTTTTTTTTTCTTTTTTTTTTCCTTTCTTTTTCTTTTCATGGTCCACATCTCTTGTCTCTTCTTCCCCTCATACATAGAGAGATGCATATACATATATACTTATATTGCCTGCACATATACTCAGAAAGAAAGAACGAAATATATAACAAAAAAAAAAAAGGAAACCCAGCTCCCTATTCATCTTCTTCTAGGGCATTTTGTTCATTTTTCTTCGACTTCTTCGACCGTGAAAACATGAGGGCATTCCGCAGAGATGCGAAGATACCACCCCTAGCAGTCTTACTCTTCAGCTTCTCCCCTGCATCCTCCAAATCCCCCTTCTCTGAGAGTATTGGGCAGGGAGCACTATCCGCCTGCGTTGGTGTACTGATCTCATCCAGTGGAGGTGTTGGCAGAGAATTGGTCTGCGCTTCGGGAGTGACTCGACTCGGCGATCGTGTGGGTGATATTTTCGCGAGGTGCACTTGCGGAGGGGCACTGAAATTCTGCTGCGAATCTTCTCTGGTATCCAGCGGCGGTGTTGAGCCGCCATTTGCCTTGAGAGCAAAACAATTGGTGGTGTTGAAGGCAATGGGTGAGCGTTCTGGTCGTGGTGAGATGGACGGAGATGATGTGTGAGTCCTGGGAGCGGAGGGTGATGTTTTTCTGCTTCTCTCTCCATTCTCTAATCGCTCCGGGGTAACTCCACGGGCGATCCTCTTATCATGTGGGGAAATGACACACGGTAGACCATAGCCGATACCAACATCTTCTTCCTCGTCCACCTCAATATCATCAAGACTGCCGTGTTGGCCTAATAGCCACTCTACATCATTTTCATCCTTCTGTTTCTGTGCGAGTGTTAATGCATGTGAGACTTCATCCTCTGTAACACTCAAGCCTTTACATTGCAAAGGATTATTGCTCATATCCTTTTTTCTTTCTATTTTTTTAAACATGGCACGGGCATCCGTTACACTGAGACGTTTGTTAGGGTCACGATTTAGCAATCCACGAAGAAGACTTGCCCATTCTATTCCATACGTTGTTGGAATCTCAGGAAGTGCTGGATCCATAATATCATCCAAGGTGCAGAAAGGTAGCTTGCCAGTAAGGAGAATATATAATGTAACTCCAAAAGCCCACATATCAACTGGCTTCGCAAACGATCTATCACCTCGCCATAACTCTGGGGCAATAAATAACATAGTACCTTTGGTTCCTTGAATAGTTGCTCCATACTGATTTCCACCAAAAGTTCTACTTGCTGCCATACTTTCTTGCATCATATGTTCCAACCGTTCACGGGCATTATTATCAAATACTTCAGAAACACCAAAATCAGATAAGTAAGCCTGTCCATTTCTATTTACTAAAATATTTTCAGGTTTAATATCACGATGAACCACCTTGTGATTGTGCAGGTATTCTAAACCAGAAAGAATTTGACGGGCATAAGAAGCTAATAACCCTTTAGGTATAGGAGTACAAACCTCTGAAGAAAGATCACCAGAAGGGTCACATTTGATACGTGCAATAGGTCCTCTATCAACATACATCATCACAAGATAAACTTTTTTCGCATTTGGATCATCTATTACTTCATAAAGTGGAACGATGTTTTTGTGTCGAAGTTTTTTCATTACGGCTATTTCCCGTTGAAAGGCATGAAATTGCATTTGTGCAGTTGTTTGACCACCTACCCTTATTCTTGTATCAACACGTCTTACCTGCTTTATGGCTACAAGACTGGTATTCTCCACATCATAGGCTAATTGTACTTTACCACAACTGCCTCTTCCCAACTCCTTTATTATCTGATAATTATTAATACACTTGGTACCTGCCTCATTACGAACAACATTAAGCTTATCTGTCAATCGTGCTGGTGCTAAAGCCGTCATACTAGCATTACTGACAGAGAATGATCGTACATCACATGATGGTCGAGGTGCAAAATGCATGAGTGGTCCTACAGGAATAGCAGCTGGAAGTGTTGATAATTGCCCCGATGCCCCACCGCTAAGAAGACTGAGAATAGATGTAGCATTTCCACATCCATTTAATGAAACCGTATCATCCGGCATAGATGTAGATAATCGCTGATTATGCGCAGTCCCACTGTCTTCATTGGCTCGCCATTGCAGTCTAGTCGGTCGATGATGGCCTTGTTGTGCCAAATTGTTTTCCGAAAGGGGGTCCAACAACATTTGTATACTACTATGCCGTCGCGACTGACGTTGACGCCGCTCATCAGTCGTACTGTTAGCAGAAGTATTATTATTGTTATTATTACTATTATTGAGCACAAATACACTTTGCTGCAACTTGCGGAGATGCTCAAGGAGCTCCTCTCGGCTCATTTGCTCAAGCGCCTCATCACTAAGGATGGGTGGAGCGACAAGAGCCATGAAAAACTAGTAATAACAAGAGCAGTAAATATATACGAAGGGTGAAAAATAAGAATAACAATAATAATAATAATAAAGAAGAAAGAAAAAAAGAAGATATCTATCACCTTATAAATAGATCCGTAATAACGTGTGCCACCTACTCGGCACCTACTATCTCTTTCTTTCTGTGTTTTACCCACTATGTGTGTTACTTCTATGGAGCCTGTTTGTTTGGGTACTATGTGAGGAAGAAAAAAATAAAAATAAAATAAAAAAAGAATAGGAAGAGAATAAAATAATAAAACAAAAGAAAAACAAAAGAAAAATATTACAACAACAGTAATCTGTACATACGTATATATGTCTACATCATGACAAGAAGGGAAATTAACTGATCACAGGATAGATTTTATCCCTTTAACTCCAAAAACGAATATACAACAGATATCTTCCCAAGAATCTTAGTAGAATTACTCTCGACTTTTGTTTTACTCAATACTTCATCCACACCGTAATCCTTCAGTATTTTCAAAGTTACAGTCTTTGACGTATCTGAAGAAACTAAGCAAATACATAATGTAGTACTAGGAACCTTCTGATTATCATTTGGAATCCATTGAATTTTGCAATGGAATTCATCGCATATATTGTGTTGGTAAAATTAGTTGACATTTCGTCGACAGCATATTTCCCAACTCATACAACTTCATATTTAAAAGGTTTGAAAATACAAGAAGGATTCTTTTTTTTTTTTTTTTTGAGGAGATCATAGGCAAATAATATTCTTTTTCCGATAACAAGAAGGCATCACGGTTCTTTCCACTGCCATTTTGGCGCATCTCCTTTGCGTTCCTGTTTCTCCTATTGTCCACAGTATAAGAGTAAGAGAAAGTATTCATAAGGATGGATAAGATGTTATGCCTGATCTCAGGGGGCTCTCTCTCTCTCTTGTTTTTCTTATGTAACGACGAGCTGTTTTGTAGAAATATGAAGGAAATAACAGTAGCAATAAGAAAAACAGAAAAAATATTCAGAAACAATAAAAAAAAATAATCAGTATATGGTTCTCTATGGAGAGTTAAACTTCACCGTTAGTCAAATAATCTTTTATTTTTTCATTCCTTCCTTCCTTTGTTTGCTTTAGAAAAGAGAAAAAAATAAAAAGAAGAAGTAAATAGAGAAAACTAACGAATCTGAAAAAGAATACATACAATTAAGAGAATGTGAGTCAAGTGCAGGATATCACTGCACTAGCATTATCAGAGTGAAAAACAACCGCATACAGCACAGTGAAAAGAAAAAGTGAGAATAATACGTAACGCAGCAAAAAGAAAATCACATAATATATATATATATATATATATAGTACTGCGCTTCGTTCTATTATTCCTCTCATTCTGCAATAAAGAAGAGTCTACTTCCTCTCGTTCCAAAAACCAGAAATGTACCTCTTTTTTTTTTTCTTTGGTTCTTTCTTCCTTCTAGCCCCTTTCATAAGCTCTTGTTCAAATTCTCACTTTCCTCTCCCCTTTTCTGCACCTAACGCTTCTTCTTTTTGTTTCTCTTTTTTTTTCTTTTTTTTTTGCTTTCCTTTTCCTTCTGCTCCTCTCTCTCTCTCTCTCGCAGACACTTTCACTATCACTCTTCTTCAGCAAGACGCTTCTTTCTTGCCGCCTCCTCCTCGCGCTCCTTCTCTACCTCGACAACAAACTTGTGCAGCTCTGTGTCTGTCATGTACGACGCCTTCTTGTTCTCCAGCACCATGAGTTCAATATTCTTCGATCCACTTTCCACCGCCTCCAGAAGGGATTTAATTGCAAAGTGCACACATTGATCGCGTGTCATATCATCTTGGTAGTTCTTCTCCATAAACTCCATCACGGCCTTGTCGTTTCGGCCAATGGCGACGGCACGCCAGGCGGAACTCATGCCGGACGGATCGGTCTTCCACAACTGCGGCTGTCCCTTCTCGGTGAAGCCGCCAACGATGGTGGAGACGCCGTACGGCCGACTCCCGCGCGACTGCGTGGACCGCTGCTGCACCTTCGCGAGATACCGCACGAGAAGATCAACGTCCATCGCGTCCTCGTAGTTGAGTCGGAAGCGCTGGCACTCGAGTTGGGCGTGATTCACCAGCACGCGGGCATCCGCAGAAAGGCCGGCGAAGGCAAGAAAAATGTGTTCATCCACCTTGTAGATCTTGCGGATGGTGCGGCTGTCCTGCAGCTTCTGCACAGATTTCTTCTCCACGGCGAAGATGATGCTATCTTTTCCACGAACACCGACAGCGCACAGTCCCTTGCGGACAGCCTCCTGCGCATACTCAACCTGGAAAAGATGCCCATCAGGGCTAAACACTGTAATAGCGCGGTCGTAACTCATACTTTTTACTGGATGATCTTTTTTTTCTTCTTTCCCTTGTTGTTTTTGTTTTTGTTGTTGGTTTTTTTTCTTTTTCTTCTTGTGCGTTCCTTGTAATAAAAGAAAAAGAAAAAGAAAAAAAAAAAAAATGCTACTTGTCAAACAGTGCGACTATACTGGTGATATTAGTCAAAGTGAGTATTCAATAAATAACAAGAGAAACAACATCAGCAAAAAGTCATAGCAACAACGGTGATAGAAACAATTCCACCCATTATCCTTACAATGGATAATAATAATTATTTTTTTTTTCCTTCCTCTGTCATGAGTAAATAAACGTTGGAACGACCACGTGACCGAAGGGATCCATACCAGAAATGGCGATGTCCTCAAATACCATCAACTCACTCTCATCGAGGAGACGTACACACTTCAAAGACATCCCATCGAATTTACACTCAAACCGTAAAGGTGCGGCAATAGAACTTTTGGTTAGTTCCATCACATGTGTCGGACATCCTCTACTCTCTTGAATCCCCATAGTACTTCGTCGTTCCAGCAAACATTCTGTAAAACGAAGGCGAGTGTTTACGGCATGAAGAAAGGCATGACCAAGTTCCACTCCGGATACGGTAGCAATTACAACAGCCACACCAAATTCCTGTGCAATTCCTTTAAGGAGTCCCATCATCTCTGCAACAGCTTCTTGTCGTTCTAGTATTTCCTCTTCTACCCCAGGAAACTCTCGTCGCACCATAATGGAGAAGTTATCAACTACCACTAGTCGAACGTTCACATAATGTGAAAGGTGTTGCCGAAGAGCTGGTATGTATGCCCGTAATTGGGCAAGACTAGCCTGTACCGATATTGCTACATCACTCAATGCGTCTTCTGAATCTTCACCAAAATCCCCACACATATGGAGTTGTTGTTGAAGCACAGTTACTGCTGCTAAAGCTGGGAACGCTGACTCATCCGTAGTTATCCAAAGTGTACGAGATTTTCTGGGATCATTTTTAACATAGCTTGCTGAGTGCATCGCTAAGTGAAGAGCAAATGCAGTTTTACCGGAGCCCATGGCACCTGTGATCTCTGTGACTAAACCACATCCAATACCACCTTTCAATGCATCATCAAGAGATTCATGTCCAGTTGAAATAACATAACGATAGCGTTGGGAGAGGGACTCTGAAACCGAGATGGGAGTTAATGCGGTTTCAGAGGAGTAAAGAACAGCAGTACTTACATAATGAAATAGCATATTCACATCATTCAGTGAGGCATCCACTTGGTGCGCAATTACAGATGGTGACTCTAATAGTATCCTTGATAACTGAGAATCTGTGTTGTATCTTGTCATTCCCTGCAATTTCTGAAGCATAGAAGAAAGATATTCTGGTTGATCAAATAAAAAATTCCTCTGAACCTTAACGTCTGCCACAGCAGAGAGAGGTTTCGTGATGTCTTCGTCATCCAACTCTGGTTCCATTGTCTTTTTATTCTCTGAATGCATCTCTTATTACCTAAATACCTCTAGGCAAAAGAGCTGTTTTCTGTACGTAGTCTCTGTGCTATTTGTGTCCACTGAAAATAATAATATGAATATATATATATAATGTTTTTTTTCGTTGTTGTTATTATTATTTTTTTTTTTGGAGGGGGAAAACATTAAGGGAAATAGAGGAATGAGGAAAAATATGACATTAAACACATTTCCCATTTCGTGTACTCAATCTTTTCATTAGGAAAAGTAACAAGTAAAACAACAACAATAATAATAAAAGTCTTTATTTATTTCTTGGCATTGAAATCCATTGAAATTAATCACTACAGGTTTCTTGTAAAGATATCATTCATTCGTTCTGCCAAGTTTAGATCTCTCTGCGTTACACGATTTCCAGCATCATGTGTTGTGAGACGCACATGAACTTTGTTATATGTATTCGTCCAGGAAGGGTGATGCCCCACCGCTTCACAGACATCAGCAACGGCATTCATAAACAACATCGCCTGTTTAAAATCACGGAATTCAAAATCACGATAAATCACATTCTCATCTTTCTCTTCAATGCGCCAACCTTTGATATTTTGCAGTGCCCGCGAAATGTCAGACTGTGAGAGCGGCACTGCTCTTGCAAAGATGAACCTCACAGGATGCATTCCTACAATCCATATTATAAAGGATCCATATATACACAGACGCAGAAAAATAGAGAGTAAAGATTGCATTATAAATATCAAAGTGGAAGAAAGAGAAGGATGCAAAAAGAAAAAAAAAAAAGAAAAAAAGAAGCTCCATAAAAAGTGTAAGGGTACATCAAATCTTATTCCCACTTACGTCAAACAATGCCATTACGATTCCCCTCTTGGAAGCAAGAGAAAGAAAGAAATAAAATTTTAAAAAATTAAACTTTATTACTTCCTTCTTTTGCAATAGTAGATTTCACTGGTTTCCCTCTTCTTGGGATAGTTTCTCTTTTAACTCTAACAGACGTTTTTCATCCTCCTTCATTCGGGATAGAACAGCCTCCAACTCCCGCCTCTCCGCGTCAAGCTCTCCCATATGGGCATCAAGGTAATCCATCAGGAGCTGTACGGTGTGACTCTCTCCTGTTTCCATCTAAACCTAACAACAGTACGCCCTTTTTTCACCGTTGTGCTAATATTCCTTCAACAAAAAAATCAATACTCCTTTGTTGTTTTTTTCTTTCTTCTTTCTGTTACTTATTTTATTTACAGAAGGAATACAACAACTAAAAGTAGTAATAATAAAAAAAAGGGGGAAAAAGTATGGCTACAGATTTATAATTATTCATAACACAGAGCAATGCTCCCAAAAAAGAAAAAAAAAAAAAACAAAGAAAAAAATGGAACTTTAAATCGTTCCAAAACCAAACGTCAAGCAATTAAAACAAAAAAAAAAAAAAAAATACTGTTTCTTTACAATCTTCAAGAGCCAATATCAGACTGCATAACGTAAAACATTTAAGTTATGCCCAAGTGATACCTCCACAGTGAATCCCTTATTAACGAAATCTTCCAAGAGACGATGGTCTCCCTCTGAGAGAATTTCAACAGGAATATTTACCAAAGGTGCATTCTTACCTGTCTCAGTTCCGGATTCAAGCAAAACACCAACGGCTCCACGTGACTCCGCGTTCATCGCCGCTGCTGCTTGACTGCATCTGCCGCCCATCACCATCAAGACCCGTCCATGCCAACTTTCCTCGTTTTTCTCCTTCACATCACTACTATTATCCGCACTGCGGCAAACGACATTGTCCTGTACAATCAGCAATACACCACGGTACTCCCTCCCACTCCAAACGGGAGGGCCAAAATTGACGGTTGAGGGACTGAACTCCAATCGGGCGAGAGCAGCAGGGCGGTGAACCACCAAAGCATTTACATCAAGTGAAATATTCACCAAGAAAAAAAAGAGTATAAAATATGCTGGAGAAAATATTTGTCGCATAATGCTTCCTTTGTTTAAAAAATTAGAATAATCTTAGCTTTACTTCTACAATAAACAAGAAAACATAAGAACAAAAAGAAAACCCTATATTTAACCTCCACGAATTGGAACCCCATCGTGTATAAAAAAATAAATTGTATTTTCCAAGAGAGTTATTTATTTAAAACATCCTAAAAACTGACGAAATGGTAGTGCTGAGAAGCCCTTTTTAGCCTGCCTCCCGCTCTTCCCATCCGTACATGGAGACGTTTGTTGTCAGTGTTGCCGTGGTTGGCAACTTGTGTGGTGGGAGATCCGGCTCGTTCATTATTAATCTTTTGAACCAATTTTGCCCGATGTCCTTCGCATGTGTGGATAAATTTGCTGGGGTCTTGTGGCCGTATTAAACCCAGATTTAAACGTGACAAACGTCGACGTACAATTTTTAAGAAAAAAATAATAAGGGAAAAGGGATTCACCCCTTACCCCTCCTGCACACATCGTCCGCGAAACTGTACCCTCTAATTGTTCGACCGTTGTCGTCTCTATTGATGGTACCTGTTGCAACCTCTTTATTGTTTTGTCACCTAAAGAAACCGTGTGGTTTTTGTGATTGTAATGTGATTGAAATGTGCTCCTTTGAAATCATATTCCTTTGTGTTTAACTGTTGTTCCCCAATAGTGGCCCCGCAGTGCTGCAAGTTATGCAAGATTTGCTGCCCCCGGGCTTCCACCTTTTTGTGTGGACAACTGATTCTGATGTTATCAATCCATACGTGGATGTATGTGTAAATCTTGTGGTGCCGCATACTGTGGCATTACCAGTTCCGGATCACCAGCAAGAACTCTTGTAATGGTATTTAAAATCTTGGGGCTACATTTAAAGCCCATGGGAAGGCGAGTGAACTCAACGAGTTCCCCTGATTCCGTTCGGCAACGGGAACTTGCGCGTATGTTCTCTGGCAGAGCTGCCTGGAAAAATGACGCCTTTAAATCATATGATGTTGGAGTTTCGTCGTAAACTACATCCAGGTATCGGGAAATGTGTCCCAGAGGAACATCAGCTTCATAATCATCCCTGTCAAAGGTCCCACCCATCCTGTAGTTGGGTGGGATGAAGCTGTACAAATAATACCTGCTTCCTTCATACGCTGCGCATCGGCATTGTTAATTCGTAAATTGGATTCACGCCGTCTGGTGTGCAACTCGGGTTTCTGCATAATATTCCACACCTCGTCCCAACGTCTCCCGGCACTATTGTTCAGGCGCCCTCTAATCCAGTTGGTAGAAAGTGTTCCGACGTCTATTTGTTGTAACGGTAAACGTGCTTCTTCATCTTTCGTTGCCTCTCTGGTGCGGTGCGATCGTTGCAGTATATTATGCCCTTTGAACGGGGCGCAGAAATGTTGTTTTGTAAATTCAGGCAATTCTTATTTTTCCCATTCTCTTACATCAATGATGTCAGGTGTGACGATTTGTTTATTGTGGCGGCCCAATGGCCTAGATAACGCACCGTGCTGTGTGGGAGTTCCATGGGATCTGAATGTTTCCCTAACTGTGTTTATAATCGTGGATTGGGATCGTGTCCGACCATTGCCGCCGCGGCGTGGGCTAGCGCTCCTCTCTTGATGGAGTGAGCTGTCATGCCGTAAGGCTGAAGAATTCTTTCCATATCTTTTGTGGTTAATGACGTTAACTTTTGGTCGCGCTCCATTCCTTTTATGGTTTCTCTGACCCGTTGTGCGTCTACTACTCCGGTTACCACGTACCTGGCTGCTCTGTGTGGATCGCTCTTGAATGTTTATGCTGTTTGAATTACCCTGAGTTGTGTATATATCTGCCGTCCCATTTGGACCAGCTGTGCTGATATCCCCTCGTTGCGAATGGAGTCCAGTCATCGTACAAAATTATTCCATGCATCTTGATAAAATATACCGGGATTAGCTGGCCTGGGAAAAAGTTGCTGATAGGCCGCCATAACTTCGCCGGTTATATGTATCCATCAAAAATTCCATCATTCCTTCAAATGTGCGGATCTTCTCCGGTGGTCTATTGCTTTCGGTCCAAATTGGTTGTCGTAATTCCTGTATGCCGCAAATGCCCAACTTCGGGTGTTCCTCAGTATTCGGTAAAGCTGGTTCCGGCTTCCATGCCTAGCTTGATAAATTTCTCCCTTTTTGTGGGGGAACCCTTGGTTCGGTTGTCTAACTTGCATCAGGTAAACTCTGTTGTTCCCTCTCGTTTTATTTTTCGAGCGCCGCCGCTAGTTGAGACTGCGTCGCAGTATACTGATTGCGCATCCGCCGCAATTCCTCCAACGTTTGGTTAAGTTGCGCATGGGATGCTGCCAATTGTATCTGTGTGTTTGCCAGTTGCACTTGGGTTTCTTCCAATTGCTTCTGCGTCTGAGCCTGCCGCATTTTCACGAGGGAGGCCTCCTGATAAATATGTGCCATTTGGTTCTATAATTCCTGGAGTTGTATATTTGCGTTTTGTTGTACACTAAAGTCTTCGCGTTCCAACTTTGCTCGTGCGCGGTCATACTCATAATGTAGCTTGGTAGCTTCCTCCACCAGTGCTGCCCATTCTGCACTGAATAAATTGTATGTCGTCTCGAAAACTTGTAAAAAAAAATTTTGATTCCGACGCATTGTAAAGTTAATAATGGAAGGGCAAAAGGCCTCCCAGTCCATAAAGTCTTCTTGGCCTATTTTTACCTTAAGTGTATTGCCTTTTAAAGTCAGAATACTATCAATGTGAAAATAGTATTGCGACATATCCAATGGTCTTCAAAGAAAATGCTGTTGGGCCAAATTGGCGCACAAAATCTTGGAAAGCCTTGGTTCAAATCCACCACTCTAATGATGTATAGGTCGGATTGGTTGTAGTTACCATTTTCCTTGCTTAAAATTTATTTTTTTTTATTTTCGGAAACTTACGATTGACAGACTGTGAAAGATTGGAAAGAAAACTCATTTTCCTAAATGTTAAAAACCCCCAGTACAAGATTTGTTAACTAAACAGATAGTAAGACTCTATCATTCTTTTCGCAAGCTGAGAAAAAAATAAAAAGTAAAAAAAAAAAAGAGAAAATACAAAAGAAGGGGGAAAAAAAAACACAATTGGAAGTATCAACAACAGTCAGGAGGAATGCACCCAGAAGAGAAAAAGGAAACAGTAAAATTTTACACATAGAAAAAAAAAGAAAATATATTCATTTCAGCTGGGTTCTTTTAATTCAATATCCTCAAAATATAAAGTATCACGTACAGTACCGTCAACAAAAACAACGACGTGACAAGAAAAAAAAAAAAAACAAGAAAATCCACACTCATTAGATGTGACATAAAAAGGAGATCAGTAGAAACCAGAAAAATAAATGCTACAGGGAAGTGCCCTTGCGCACCATCCGTACAAATATAACTGTACTCCATCCTCAACACATATTATGTTTCTCTGTTTGGCTCACCAAAAAAGTTCTCAAACGTTTGCTCAATATTCCACGCTTCAATAAACAGACTTATCAGTTATAACGACAATCACCACTGCAGAAAATGTCCTCTGTGGTCATCCCTCCACGTCTTTAGCGTTTATTCTTATTACCGCCTCGCTGCATGTATCCTTCTCATGGCATCCCACTCGATGTTGTTCCTCAGACACTATCTTTTCGGTTAATCTTTCGAAGGTTACCCCACATGTAATGAGACTCGTCAATAATCTTCATTGCGAATTCCTTGCCCTTGAACTCTCCATCGAAGACAAACTTATTCTCCACACCACCCTGGCAGATCTTGTACACACGGAGCCACTCACGAATGGCATCGAGGCACCCAGGGAGGAACTTCGGCACATCGTGGATATCCTTCAGAAAGCGGCATATGGGGTCGTTGTGTGAGATGCATATCACCTTCCAGTCCATCTGGTTGTCGTCAATCATCCCAAGAACACCGAGCACCTTCACCGCCTCCACCTGCCCAACCCTCAGCTGCGACATGCCAATCTCAATGGCATCGATCGGGTCGTTGTCGCCGTGGACACCGCCTTCGAAGATGACATCAGTACTTTCCCACGTCTGCGGCATCGCACCGTAGTTCCACATCATGTCGCCATGCTTGTAGAAGCGCGGGACACCGTTTTTGATATCCTGCTTAATGGGATTGAATGGCTCCCCCGTGGCGATCTCAAACTTCGCACGAGTCCATTTGGGGATCTCACAGATGAAGTTGTAGCGATTCATCGGTGCCGTCTCGGGTTTCGTCCTCACCAGCGAACGCACGTAGAGTGGAATGTCGTGCCACGGTGATACCTGCCGCGTCTCCCCTGTCTCCATGTCTTTGAAGTGGAAGAGGACGCGGTAGCTCGGCGTGTACAGTTCGCCTTCCTCTCTTGTTAAGAGCTGCTGTTGGTGATACGGCACGGAAAAATCAGCAGAGACAGTTGAAAAACAGTTTTTCTTTGATGATCCCTCCGGGTGCGACATCCACCAGCTCCAAAACTTTTCAAACGTAATGTGCCCATCAATGGCGTTGATTTCTTCCTTCATCTGTTGCACCTCTTCCGCACTCATATCGCGTCCAATGTATTTGCACATCTCCTCAATCTTATCTGTTTCCAAGTAGCCCTTCTGGGTCACGTCAAAAGCCGAAAACATACGTCCCATGACATTTTTCTGCATAGACGCGGTGAACTCATCCTTGCCGTACGCAGCAAGATCAAACTCCGACACGTGTCGTCGTGAGGCCTCTGGCATCGGGCTCACAGCATTCGGAGAGCCCCTCAGTCCCGTACCAAGATGGGAGGAGAGCGGGTGCATGGATTTTACTTCATCAGTCATGAGACTCTCAGGTGAGTCAAAAGTCACATGTGCTCCCCTTATTGCTGCTGGCTGTCCGCTAGACATTTTTGCTTTCTACCACAGTACAAACAATGAAGAATGAAGAAAAAAGGGACAATTACAAGAAGAGAAAGAGTTAACGCTCGCCTTAATCAGGGTAGGCGAATAAAAGTCGCACCACCACAAACGTGCATTGTGTGCTCGCAGGCAAAGCATATTCCGAATCCACCCCCAAGGCAGTGCATCGTAGAAACAAAAATTCATCACGAAAAAATTAAAAAAAGCAAAAAAAAAGAGTATAGTGCAGATGCCCAGAAATATACCCCTTTGTAGAGCAGAAAGTAAAAGAAAAAGAAAAAAAACCCCGATTCGTTCATACATAGGAAAAAAAAAAATTAATTACAAAAAGGTATATAAGAAGAACAATAAACAAAGTACATTCTGGGGAAACTATACTACATGATGATACAACAAGAGGCGTTTCTTATTAAAGGCAGATACTGCTTTGTCAATATGGGTTATGGGGATAAACACAACCAACTACAAAAAAATTACATTAAACACTTTAATAACACAATACGCGGCAGAAATATTTAACCATAAAATAAAAGAAAACAAATTCATTTCAGCTGGGTTCTTTTAATTCAATATCCTCAAAATATAAAGTATCACGTACAGTACCGTCAACAAAAACAACGACGTGACAAGAAAAAAAAAAAAAACAAGAAAATCCACACTCATTAGATGTGACATAAAAAGGAGATCAGTAGAAACCAGAAAAATAAATGCTACAGGGAAGTGCCCTTGCGCACCATCCGTACAAATATAACTGTACTCCATCCTCAACACATATTATGTTTCTCTGTTTGGCTCACCAAAAAAGTTCTCAAACGTTTGCTCAATATTCCACGCTTCAATAAACAGACTTATCAGTTATAACGACAATCACCACTGCAGAAAATGTCCTCTGTGGTCATCCCTCCACGTCTTTAGCGTTTATTCTTATTACCGCCTCGCTGCATGTATCCTTCTCATGGCATCCCACTCGATGTTGTTCCTCAGACACTATCTTTTCGGTTAATCTTTCGAAGGTTACCCCACATGTAATGAGACTCGTCAATAATCTTCATTGCGAATTCCTTGCCCTTGAACTCTCCATCGAAGACAAACTTATTCTCCACACCACCCTGGCAGATCTTGTACACACGGAGCCACTCACGAATGGCATCGAGGCACCCAGGGAGGAACTTCGGCACATCGTGGATATCCTTCAGAAAGCGGCATATGGGGTCGTTGTGTGAGATGCATATCACCTTCCAGTCCATCTGGTTGTCGTCAATCATCCCAAGAACACCGAGCACCTTCACCGCCTCCACCTGCCCAACCCTCAGCTGCGACATGCCAATCTCAATGGCATCGATCGGGTCGTTGTCGCCGTGGACACCGCCTTCGAAGATGACATCAGTACTTTCCCACGTCTGCGGCATCGCACCGTAGTTCCACATCATGTCGCCATGCTTGTAGAAGCGCGGGACACCGTTTTTGATATCCTGCTTAATGGGATTGAATGGCTCCCCCGTGGCGATCTCAAACTTCGCACGAGTCCATTTGGGGATCTCACAGATGAAGTTGTAGCGATTCATCGGTGCCGTCTCGGGTTTCGTCCTCACCAGCGAACGCACGTAGAGTGGAATGTCGTGCCACGGTGATACCTGCCGCGTCTCCCCTGTCTCCATGTCTTTGAAGTGGAAGAGGACGCGGTAGCTCGGCGTGTACAGTTCGCCTTCCTCTCTTGTTAAGAGCTGCTGTTGGTGATACGGTACGGAAAAATCAGCAGAGACAGTTGAAAAACAGTTTTTCTTTGATGATCCCTCCGGGTGCGACATCCACCAGCTCCAAAACTTTTCAAACGTAATGTGCCCATCAATGGCATTGATTTCTTCCTTCATCTGTTGCACCTCTTCCGCACTCATATCGCGTCCAAGATACTTGCACAACTCCTCAATCTTATCTGCTTCCAAGTAGCCCTTCTGGGTCACGTCAAAAGCCGAAAACATACGTCCCATGACATTTTTCTGCATAGACGCGGTGAGCTCATCCTTGCCGTACGCAGCAAGATCAAAATCCGACACCCTCCGTTGAGAGGTCTCTGCCACAGGGTTCACAAAATCCTTAACGTCCTTGTTGGGTGAGTTAAACAAACTGGGAATCTGGTTTAAAGAGATGTCATCATTAGCTGCTGGATAGCTGGGTGTGATGGGTGAGTCAAGATACACATGTACTCCCGTTATTGCTGCTGGCTGTCCGCTAGACATTTTTGCTTTCTACCACAGTACAAACAATGAAGAATGAAGAAAAAAGGGACAATTACAAGAAGAGAAAGAGTTAACGCTCGCCTTAATCAGGGTAGGCGAATAAAAGTCGCACCACCACAAACGTGCATTGTGTGCTCGCAGGCAAAGCATATTCCGAATCCACCCCCAAGGCAGTGCATCGTAGAAACAAAAATTCATCACGAAAAAATTAAAAAAAGCAAAAAAAAAAGAGTATAGTGCAGATGCCCAGAAATATACCCCTTTGTAGAGCAGAAAGTAAAAGAAAAAGAAAAAAAAACCCGATTCGTTCATCCCCCAAAAAAGAATCATCTACAAAAAGGTGTAAATCAATACTCATATTTGGTAACAACCTTTAAAACAACTCAGTACACCATAAATTGCACACGAATCCCTAAATAAGCACTGCACGGCATCTTTGATGAAATAGAGAAATAATGTTCTAAAAACAGCAGCATGTAGCAAAAAAAAAAAAAGTTCTAACATGAATCCCATAAAAAGAGCCACACTCACCGAAATGCAACCAAAGAAAAAACTTAGGAAACAAGAAAAAGAAAGCACTTACTGCACCAGAAACGGCAAAAAAAAAAA